CGGTTTAGATTAAGAAGAGTGTATGTTATTGGCTTTATAATATATTATGCATTAATTTATTTTTTATAATTTAAACTTTTTATAGAAAAAAATTTCGGAGACTAATCATAAAAGTAGGTGATATAATAATTTATATATAAAAACTGTTTCCAAAAACATTTAGTTTAAAAAAAAACAATTAAAATTTCAAAATTTAAAACAGATCAGACAACATGAAATTAATAACAATAATTTTAATAGTTTTACTTTATCTTCTCATCGTTCATCCTAATATTGGATTATCCAAAAGATCAACCAAAAAAAAAACAACCAAGTATAAAATGTCTAAGCATAAAATGTCTAAGCAGAGAATATCTAAACAGGAAACAGAATCTAAACAGGAAACAGATTGTGATATGGGAGCAATCGTTAAATTCATTCCAGATTATAATTTAGATGAACTCTTTGGGATAATCATTTTTTCGGAAGTTTCACTAAAAGGAGATCAACAAAAGCAAACAAAAATTGAAGGAGCATTTACAACGCCTGTTGGATTGGATGGATTAAAAACTGAACATGGGAAATATATTTACACAGTAAAACTTTTTAATGGAGATGAAATGGTTTATGATTTAACCGAACCGATATTTAGTGGATCTAAAATAGTAAATCTGACTATTTGTGGAAAAAATTCAATAATTGGAAAAACAGTGGTTATCAAAAAGGATGAAGAAGAAATAGCCACAGCGAACATTGCAGGCATAACGAAATTTACGGTTGATATGTATGAATGATATGTATGGTTGATATGTAAGGTTGAATGATGATTCATAGAACTTATTAACATCCTTGTGACAAAAATCATAAACAAATATGTGAATTACATAATATATAACGATAATAGTTATTATTCGCTTAATTTATTTAATTTATAAATTTATAATGTAATGTCTACATCCTGAATTGTATATAATACCGATACCAACCGATTTTTGTATTGATTTTTGTTGTCGGAGTTAATTAAAGAGAATAAATAAAGATAACAATAAGTAAATGAAGAGAATAAATAGAGAATAAATAAAGAGAATAAATAGAGAATAAATAAAGAGAATAAATTAATTGAATTATCCAATAATAATTAAATATAATCGATATAAAAGATTCGTAATGATCAACATACATGCTTCTTACATGCTTCTTACATGCTTCTGAAATACTGAAATATCAGAAATATCAGAAATATCAGAAATATCAGAATTAAAATATCAGAATTTAGTGAAATCATATGTACAAAATTTCCTGGGTGCATGTGCCCGTTCCTCTTTGTATTATAGGACCGAACTCCTTGTATTATAGGACCGAACTCCTTGTAACTCAATAATTTTTGCTGTAATCCTATAAAGTTTTGTAACCTTGTAATTTTGGAATTTTTGATATAGTTTGTGCATAATCAAACATGTTTCATACAAAAATGATATAC